GACTTGCTCTCGTCCGGCGCGGCAGCAGTCGCGTCGGGACCGCTCGCAGTGGCATGCATCTGTCCACTCAATGTCGTGGAACAACGCGACAAGTGTCGCCTCATTCTGGATCTGAGGAAGGTCAACCAATACCTCGTCATTCCCAAATTCAAGTACGAAGGTTTGGTCCGAGTCGCCGAATTAGCACAACCGGGGGACTGGATGTTCTCCATCGACCTGAAGTCTGGATACCACCACGTCGATATTCACGCATCATGCTGGAAATTCCTAGGTTTCCACTTTGAAAGCACAGACTACTATTTCAAGTCGTTGCCATTCAGCCTCGCGACGGCACCCTTCCTTTTTACTCAGCTGATCAAACAGCTGGCTCGAAGATGGCGAGCGCAGGGTACCAGAGTAATCCCATACGTGGACGACATTTTGTTCCTCTGTACCTCGGAGCAGGAAGCATGTACGACAAGTGGCGTAATAATTCGCGACCTACGACAATCGGGACTCGTCATCAACGCCAAAAAATCTCACCCTACCCCAACCCAGAACCTACAGTTTCTTGGAATGCAGTTAGACACCCAAGCGGGAAGATTCACCATTGGCCCCGACCGTCGGGCCCAACTGATGCATACACTACGAGTGCTTCTCGATGCCTACGAGCGTCACCAACGAATACCAATTCGCCTGGTTGCCCGAGTCACGGGCATCCTCGCTTCCATGGCGTTGGCCCTTGGCACAACGGCGCATTCATTCAGCCACCACCTATTGGAACTCATCAACATTGCACCGTCATGGAATGCGAGAGTACACCTGACGGGGGGGGTTCGTGAGGAAATCCAGTTCTGGCTTGAACACTTCGATCGTTTTAATGGAGCCCCTTTCCACATGCCACATTGTCTGGATACGGTGATCCACGTCGACGCAAGCGCTCACAGTTGGGGTGCGACCTTGGCCTCCTTCCCTGGCGGAAGCTCACAAGGCAGCAGTCCAATGCCACACGAGCTCCTCACCACCTCGAGCACACTCCGCGAGCTCGAAGGCGCGCTTTGGGCCCTCCGCACATTCTCAAGTCAGACCCAAGGCCGCCACGTCCTTGTTCGGGTGGACAACCAAGGAGTATTTTACATTCTTCGTAAAGGCGGCTCTCGACAGCCCGAGCTCACCCTCTTGTGCAAGACTATCGTCGCGCACTGCATGTCACATGAAATCCGGTTGGCCATTGAATGGATACCTCGGGCTCTCAACACGGATGCTGACGCACTGTCGAAGCTGGAGGACCACGACGATTACTCACTGAAACTCCCCTGGTTTCGGCTACTGGAGAGGCGTTGGGGGCCGCATTCAGTTGACCTCTTCGCAAACGCCAATAATACACAGCTGCCACGTTTCTTCTCAAAGAACTTCCATCCGCGTGCAACCGCCATCAATGCTTTCTCCCAGGATTGGGGACCAGAACATGGTTTCGCCTTTCCTCCCCCACACCTCGTCCCATCTACTATCCGCCACGCCGCACGCACGGCTGCCAAGCTGACGCTAGTTACCCCCGAATGGACGGGCGCGTCCTGGTGGCCCCTGATAAGACCGTCCCCGACCACTTGGGCATCCGGCATCTCATCTTGTCTCCCCCTTGCCAGTGGAAGTCAATGTTTGCATGTCGGCTCGCATACCGGTGCCTTCTCAGGCTCAGGGCTCCCTATTAGTAGGATCTTGGCACTTCAATTTGACTTCCAAAATTAATGTACCAATACTGTTTTTGGATTCTGACAGATATGATTCCAAGGCTGCACGAACAACTCCTTCTCATGACAGCCCAGACACGGTCGGACTCAACAATCAACACATACGAGCCGTACTAGGCAAGGTTTAGGAGTTTCTGTGTAAAAGCAAAAGTGGCCTTCCTGCCGGCAGCAGACCTCACAGTGGCCCTCTACCTGGTACACGCGATCAACCACAAGGCTACGGTTTCAAGTGTGCAACTCAAATGCGCCGCAGTCAGTTTTGCCCACCGAATGACGGGTTCCACCAACCCAACGTATGGCCCCTTCACAACACAAGTACGCGAGTATGCCAAACGGCATTGCCCCAGGCCAATACGGGTGAAAGAACCAGTATCCCTCCATCAGGTCCAGGCGATGGCTAAACCATTCCTCCAGTCAACTCAGCCGGGTACATATCAGAAAGGCCTCATTGTGTTGCTCATGTACTCCGCGTTTCTCCGCTTCTCTGACCTGGTGGCAATTCAATGGGAAGACATCCAATTCGAGGACGCGGCAATGTGGCTCCTCATCCCGTACTCGAAAACCGACCAGGAGGGCAAAGGTGTATGGGTTCCCGTCGCGGCAGCAGACGGCCCTTTCTGTGCACTCGCAAATTCATCCAACTAGCCCAATACGGGCCGGACTCCAAGGGGCCACTAATTCGCGTACTTCGACGCAACTCACCGCCATCCGCGCATGACAAGGCTCCTTCGTATCCCACCGTCCGCACATGGTGCATGCAAGCCTTCAAAGCTGCCTGCATCGACCCGACCCATCTTGGCACCCACTCGTCCGCAAGGGCGCAGCCACAGTTGCTGCCAATGTAGGCGTTCCTGATCGCATCTTCAAACAACTCGGGCGATGGCAAAGCGATACGGCAAAGGACCTCTATTGACCATCTCGCATGAGCACCTTCTAGCAGCATCTCGCAGCCTTCAAGACGAAGCTCGCGCGCCTTCCCCATCACAGCATCGGCGTTCCCTTTCGCGACAACGCAAACCGGGCCTCCTCATGTCTCAGAAGACCCAGTTGAAATGAGACGTTGCATTTGCAAGGCAAATCGCAAGCTTTCACAATATGTAAAATTTTGAAAGTGTGTAACACTTTCCAAATTTGTGTATTGTGAATAGCGAAGCGAGTTGTACCGAAGCAAAGGCTTCGGCGAACCGCTACTTCCCCCTCTTTTCTGTACAAAAGAGGGGTGAAGGCCATTAGGCCTTCACCCACGTTTCATTTCGAATTTTCAACTTTCAAGTTCCCCGCCCTCCCTCCCTTGTACGAACGGTTGATCTTAGAACTTGCATGTTGTAATGTGCTTGGACGATAAAATCCTGTACTACCCAGTTGAAATGAGACGTTGCATTTGCAAGGCAAATCGCAAGCTTTCACAATGCTTGTACTTTCTTTGTATAATCAATCTACTTTGCCCTCACATACCAGCGCAAGGTGGTTCAAACACTTGTCACTAAACGGTTCTGCTATTACATGGTTCCTACCCAGATTTTAGCTCTGTAAAGATCCTTTGGGCTTTTCTCAGCCCAACACTTGTATGACAGATTTTGTACTGTGACCACTACCTTACCAATTGACAATTCTGAGCACTACTCCAATACTTTACAGTTTATAAAATCTCCCAACCCCCCCCCCCCCCCCCCCCCCCCCCCCCCCACCTCTCTTTGACCTGACCAGTGATTATCAGCTTGGTGCAAGAGATTCTCTCACTATGTTTTAATCACTTCCAAAAACCGTATGTTATCCTATCACAGATGATTGAACTCACTTTAGTTCATTTCGTTTCACTCCTAACAACCGGGCTAATTTCCCGCGGCTTCATCCCAGAAAATGCCGGATGGCACTTGCGAGTCGCCTCGCCTGACTAAGCCACAGTGCGCGTCGCACTTCGGAAACTGCAGCTCTTGCTTGCGCTCATTGGTTCAAAATTGGTTCGTCTGCAACCAGCGCAAGATTTCGGGGTTTTCTGTCCGACTTGAGGGTTTTGCTCCAGGTCTTCACCCATTTGCTAAGTACCTCGGGTTTCCTCGTTCCCACCACAGCCCTTCTACGCTGTGCGTGTGCCTATGACACCCCCTTCCTGGTGATGTGATGACCCCAGACCGGAGTCGCAGTGGAACACAGCACCATGCTGTACCAAATCAGAACCCAAATTTCACAACCAGCCTGCCACAAGTCCAGCGCCTCGAGCCAAAAAACTCTCCAAGCCGCGCAGCGGCTCCCATCCCTCCCATCTCGCTCGCAGCGAAATGTGCGCGGCCCACGAAGAGTTGCCCCACCGACTGAAGCAGGAGAAAGTTCATGATCACATTACTGTCGAACGTTCCGTTTTGTTCTGCCTGTTTTGTGCGGCGGGAAGAAAGAACCCGCTCGTGTGATAGACTATACACTAAGGAGACGAAAAGGAAAGTCAAGGCTGCAGGACCTGAAAACACTACGGAAGGAATGCGAGTCCACGAATGGAATCAGCCTCCTTATCTCGCCTCTCAGGACTCCCCCATCCGTTTTTCTCGTTGCCATCCTCCGTCCCACGACTCCATCTGACGTTGTCTCGGTTTGTGTAATCAAGGCTTGGCTAGTAGACCGTGTCTTTGTTCGCCGGACATATAGAAGTGATATGCGCTTTGCTTACCAGCTTCCGTCGAGGCAAAGAGACGCTCTTGGGCCAAAAGTCACCGTATCTGTTTGACGGTTGAGAGCGACGGTGTCACGCCCAGGGAGCTCGTCACTTCGGCGAGTAGCCACTCTCTCCGACCGCTTGATCCAGCAGCTTGCCGCTCCATCCGCAGAAACTTGCGTCTCCGTAACCTCTTCCCTTGCTGCAGATACACGCCGAAGCCAGCACCTGAGACATCGGGAATAATAGCTTTTACTCTTCGCCAGCACGAACCCCTTCTCCTTTGCTTTCTCGCTTGTAGAGGATATCTGTCCAATAGCTCGCTGCGTGTGCGCGCAGCTCACACCACGAGCATCACCGCTAACACCCCGCAGAACGTCAAGCATCATCCTTTGCCCGCTGCTCGGACACACTGGCATTCGTGATATCAGCACCACTCACTCACAGAGAAATCCAGCCTCGGTTCTTTTCGAAGGTCATCGCTGTACAGAGGAATGGCGGCACCAACAACAATGCGCGGCCGGCATTGCCGCGTGCTGTCGAGACGACCATCCTATCAACCACTGGCATCGCCGCTGGTGGTAACCATGCTGGCGATGGCCACGGCGATGCTGGCCGTATCAATGCCAAAGGCAGTTGGGATTGATTCGATAACAAGTGCAAGTACGAGCCAAGGAAAAGCTCCCCCGACTTCGACGGTTCATGAAACGATAACGGTTCCTACTCTGACAACGACGCCACGCGCACGTACGTATCGAGGAGAACTATGCACTTCCGTTCCCCGTTTCTTTGCCACATTCTTTCCAATTCTTCCCTGTTCCAGCCACCCGGTGCCCTGAAGCAAACGCAACCGAAATTTTACCGATCCCCGTCCCTTGCAGCCAAATGCGACTACACGGCGGGCAGGTGGATATACGCCGCGGATCTCCCGCGCTACTCCGGCAACCCCGCCAAGACCAATTTCTGCCCGTTCATCCGGTCGTCGTACAACTGCGAGCGCAACGGGCGGCCGGACTCGCTGTACCGGCAGCTGAAATGGAAGGCCAAGGGGTGCGACATCGAATACTTCGACGCCGATGGATTCGCCAAGATGATGAAAAACAAGGTGCGGCGCGCGGCTGGGCATGGGGTGAGGAGCACAAGAATGGTGCGGAAAAGAAGGGGTCAAACTACCCCTTTCGGTTCCTGAAGCTCGGACCATTTCCCAACTCCCCATCCTCTCTTCCCGCCTCACCAAGCCTGCTCTATTCCGTTCTGTCTTTCCGTTCCTCACCATCCGCCCCCCCCCGCCTCCTCAAATTTCGCCTCCAACTTGCGCTTATCCCGTCACTCCTTGCTTCTCCGCGTTCTCGCCTCCTCCCATTCCCTCGTCGCACCTCGCCCTTCGCTCCCTCCCCCACCACTGGAAGCACATGCTCAGGGTGAACGAGTACCATCATGGCTAACCAGCACGATCCGCTGCTGCTCCTTCCCCATCCTCCCCCTCCTCAATATCCTCGTCCTTCCACACTCTCTCGACCCGCTTCCCGATCCCCTCCCGCACGGCAGCGCATGCTACTGGTGGGCGATTCCATTATGGGAAATCTGTACGAGTCGCTGCTGTGCTCCATTTACACGGGCGGATACGAGGCGGAGGTACGGCTGGAGGTGTGGAAGCGGGGCTGGGGGAAGATGAGGCATGGGTGAGCGCGTGTGCGGGAATAAGATGGTTGACGAGGCTTACGAAAAGGAGCAAACGTCGGGGAGAAGGCGGTTTTCTGTGCCATGTTCCCATGCCGTCCTACTATCACTGCCAGTATCTGTCACAACACTATCGCACATCGTTCCCTCACCCGTCCTTTTCTCCTTGCCCTCGTGCCCCATCCCTCTTCACCACTTTCCCCGTCCACCCACTCTCTCCTTTCTCCCTCTGGACCCCTATGGACTCCTTTGGAACCCCTCCGAACCGCAGAGAGGCCACAAGCCGCTGAACAGCGTTAAGGCTATTTTCTTCCCGACGTTCAACTTCAGCGTCGCCTATTTCTTCTCGCCCTACCTCATGGACGCGTTCCAGCAGCAGGCCAACGGCGCCAAGCGCGGCGGCGCGCACGGTTACGTCGTGAACGTGACGTCAGTGCACCCTGTCGTGGTGCGCCTGCTGCCCATGTATGACGTGGCAGTATTTTCGTCCGGCACCTGGTGGCTGCAGAACGTGCCGGGAAGGAAGCAGCCGAATACGTTTATGGTGAACGGGGTGGTGCAGCAGAACATCACGAATCTCGAGGCGTTTAGAACGGGGTTAAAGACCCTCGCGAATCACGTGAAGCAGTCTAATTTCTCGGGAATCCCGTTCTTCCTGACCTTCAATCCCAAGCATGGCCCAGTTATGCGCACAGCACGGGGGGACGGGGCGTGCGGGGCAGTGCAACCCATCGGTCCCAAGGGCGCGTTCAAGTGGTACGAGTCGATACGAACAGCGGAGGAGTATTTTAAGATGCAGCGGCACGTGCTAACGAGCAGCAGCAACATGCGGGTTGTGAAGGTAACAAGGATGTCTGAAATGAGACCCGAGGGGCACCTGGGGATGTGGTGGCAGAAGAGGGATAATCTCACCGAAGCATTAGCAACACCAGATTTGGGTGACTGCACACACTGGTGCTTGCCTGGCGTGCCTGACGCGTGGCTCGATGTCATGTACGCTTACATGCGCCTAGAGCCTGTGCTCAACCCTGGCACTTGAGAACTGAGAAATGAGTTTTTGGGCGGTGGATTGATAGGAGTCAGAGGATGTATGGTACCGGTACCTAATGGTGGGTTTAGGATGTGCAGGATCTGCTGGATCCTGCTATGGTACCTCCCAGTTTCGCAGATGGGGTATACCGTACCTGTTCTCTATGGATTCACACCTTGGAGTGCATAGGTGTTTGCTAGAGGTGTTTGTTGGAAACAATGAATCCTAAACGCTTCTGTCATGTCGAAACATCGCACCAGAAGCGAAGCAAAGTCATATCGAGACATTCGCGAGCCAACCCTCGGAGGTTGAGAAGTTGCTGGAGGTTATGTGAAAGTCAACGGTCAGCGACCTTTGACCTGACAAGTACAGCGCGACAGCAAGGACACACAACTGACTCGCTACAGAGCAGTTGCCCGAGTCGTCACTGTATCAAACCGCAACAGCAAAAGTAGTTATCGTATCCTTTCATATTCCTTGTAATCTTATATATATCCTTGTATCTTCTTGTTTTAATCAACTTACTTTGCCCTCACATACTAGCGCAAGGTGGTTCACAAGTTCTTCATTAACGCTTCCGCTATTACAACTATTCCTACCCAGAGTTTACCCCTGCAAAGATCCTAAGGGCTTTTCTCAGCCCAACATGGTATGAGAGCAAACAGGGGAAACTCCACTACTATCAAGTCATCAGAAACATTACAAGACATGGCAACACTGAAAGAAAGGAGCTTCTCTAACGGTTCTCCTGGCACTACTCCTACTCCACCTCCTGCCTCTGGCCTGCAGACAGAGGAAGGCACGGCAACAAGACCCAGGGCAACATCTACCGAGACTCCTGCGAATCAACCTGCGAGCTTCGACCAGAATATGATGGAGAAATTCTTCTCCTTCATGTCCTTCTACGAGCAGCATCAGCAGTCGGCACCTGCGCAGTCAAACTGTCAGAATACTAGGAGTGGGGCCTAGGCTTAGTAGCCTAGGCCCACACATAGAGTAGGTAGGTTGTGCCCTAGAGCTAGGGTTTGGGGTATACGAAGGAGAATTGGAGAAGTGAGAATGGGAATGATGGTTTGAACTAGCAAGCAGCAGGATACATATAGGAAACCCTAAGGGGTTGTACTCACTATTGAGCACCCCACTGCAGGCTAGACAAATAACATAATCTGACACACCCCCATAGCCAAAGTGGGGTGTAATCAGCACACGTGAGAAGTCACAGCAATAGTTCACAATTATCAGCAAAGCTAGTGGCAGTCACAGGAGGCCAGTGAGGAGGAGGAGGAACTGTGGAGGGAGAGAAGAGAGGAGGCGACTACTGAAGTTGCAGACACACGGGCACCAGGAGCACCAGGCTGCAACCTCCTCCAACTGTCTCACTCCCCCCTACACACACCCCCAGGGTCACCACTCGCTCCACGCCCACATCACCCCCCTAGCGCCACTCCCTCGTCTCCCACACATCCACCCCCGCAGCGGCAGCTGCAGCAGTGGGAGACGGAGGAGAAGGAAGGGGCGACGCACACGGAGCACCCCCACACCCGCCACCCCCACACCCTCCTGTCCAGGGGACCCAAGGGGGGGGGGGGGGGCGGGGCGGGAGAGCGCACGAGGGTGCAGGCAACCGCGCGTGCAGAGCAACAGCGCGGAGCAGGTAGGGTAGAGCGCACGAGGGCGCGGGCAACCGCGCGTGCAGAGCAACAGCGCGGAGCAGGTAGGGTAGAGCGCACGAGGGCGCGGGCAACCGCGCGTGCAGAGCAACAGCGCGGAGCAGGTAGGGTAGAGCGCACGAGGGCGCGGGCAACCGCGCGTGCAGAGCAACAGCGCGGAGCAGGTAGGGTAGAGCGCACGAGGGCGCGGGCAACCGCGCGTGCAGAGCAACAGCGCGGAGCAGGTAGGGTAGTAGTAGAGCGCACGAGGGCGCGGGTAGTAGTAGAGCGCACGAGGGCGCGGGCAGCAGCAGGGCGCACGAGGGCGCGGGCAGCAGCAGAGCGCACGAGGGCGCGGGTAGTAGTAGAGCGCACGAGGGCGCGGGTAGTAGTAGAGCGCACGAGGGCGCGGGTAGTAGTAGAGCGCACGAGGGCGCGGGTGAGACAGAGCGCACGAGGGCGCAGAGAGCACGGGCAGCTGCTGCAGAGGTCCAGAGGCGGCTGCTCCAGGGGCCAGGGGCGGCTGCTGCAGTGGCGGGCGACTCCAGGGGCGGCTGCTGCAGTGGCGGGCGACTCCAGGGGCGGCTGCTGCAGTGGCGGGCGGCTCCAGGGGCGGCTGCTGCAGTGGCGGGCGACTCCAGGGGCGGCTGCTGCAGTGGCGGGCGGCTCCAGGGGCGGCTGCTGCAGGGGCGGCTGCTCCAGGGGCGGCTGCTGCTGTGGCGGGCGACTCCAGGGGCGGCTGCTGCAGTGGCGGGCGACTCCAGGGGCGGCTGCTGCAGTGGCGGGCGACTCCAGGGGCGGCTGCTGCAGTGGCGGGCGACTCCAGGGGCGGCTGCTGCAGTGGCGGGCGGCTCCAGGGGCGGCTGCTGCAGTGGCGGGCGACTCCAGGGGCGGCTGCTGCAGTGGCGGGCGGCTCCAGGGGCGGCTGCTGCAGGGGCGGCTGCTCCAGGGGCGGCTGCTGCTGTGGCGGGCGACTCCAGGGGCGGCTGCTGCAGGGGCGGCTGCTCCAGGGGCGGCTGCTGCTGTGGCGGGCGACTCCAGGGGCGGCTGCTGCAGTGGCGGGCGACTCCAGGGGCGGGCTGGCCTGGCGCAGTCCGTACGGGCCGCGCGCGGGCCTGGCGCAGCCCGCCCGGGCCGCGCGCGGGCCTGGCGCAGCCCGTACGGGCCGCGCGCGGGCCTGGCGCAGCCCGTACGGGCCGCGCGCGGGCCCGACGTAGGTCGCGGGGGCCACGACGGGCGACGGGGGGCGACGCGCGGGTCCCCGTCGCCCGTCGCAGCGCCTCCCGGGGGCGACGCGCGGAGTGACGGGGCAGAAAGCCGCCGCGCGCCTCGGGGCGCACGGCGGGCAGAAAACCGCCGCACGCTCCGAGCGCGCGGCGGGATGAAAAAAAAAAAAATCCGTCGCACGCCTCGGGGCGTGCAACACACAGAGTAGCAGTAGCAGCGGAAGCAGTAAGGTGGTGGGCCCATTGAGGTAAGCGGCAGGAACGTGCTCGCTCTAGATACCATGTCAGAATCACTAGGAGTGGGGCCTAGGCTTAGTAGCCTAGGCCCACACATAGAGTAGGTAGGTTGTGCCCTAGAGCTAGGGTTTGGGGTATACGAAGGAGAATTGGAGAAGTGAGAATGGGAATGATGGTTTGAACTAGCAACCAGCAGAATACATATAGGAAACCCTAAGGGGTTGTACTCACTATTGAGCACCCCACTGCAGGCTAGACAAATAACATAATCTGACACAAACAACAGCAACAACAACCATGAGGCGACTCCAATGAGTCTCGACGGCTCATCATATGCGCGCGGAAACCAGCAGCAACCCACCTTTGCTCCGTACGAACGCGGGTCCATCAGCTTCATGCCGCACCCGCAAGCTCCACCTGGACAAGAAAAACCACTGGATGCACTGCAAGTTCAGTCGCAATTCGCACACGTCTTGAAGCTGCAGACGTCAAGGCCCTTCGACGGCAAAGACTTCTTCACCTGGTCGTTTGAGTTCGAGCTCATGATGGAAGGCGCGCAGATACTCGGCTTCTTCGACGGGTCCCTGCAATACCCAACAAATGGCACACAGTATGACAAACAGAAGTATACGTATCAGTCGATGATGGCGTATACGATTCTGCTGAGGAACGTCACACCGACTCAGCAGCAGAACATACGTTCTTACCGGGGTTACGGCAACTCCGCTGAGCTCGCGTACAGCCACCTGAAGAGCCTGTATCAAGCAACAGACAGTGTAAACCAGAGCAGGTTAATGGCGCAGTTGACAACAGTCGAAATGAAACCAGGAGAGAAGGGAATGGCGTATATCAGCCGATGTCGCGAATTGCGCGACAAGCTTCTTCGATGCGGAGGGTCGATCTCTGAAGACGCCTATGAGACAGTCATCATCGGCGGCCTCGGTCCTCAATGGCGCGCCACCAAAGCTATCCTTCGAGCACACGGAAGAATCTCCGAAGCAGCACTCTGCGCCGAAATCCACGCCGAACAGCAGGACATGGATCTGCAAGAGGAGAGGCACAAGAGAAAGACATCAGCACCAGAGTTCGCATTTCACACTCAACGGCGCTACAACAACAACAACAACCGAAGCCAGTACCTCCTTTCTGCCACATCTGCAAGACTTCAGGACACCCGCGCACGCACTGCCCGAATCGTCAACAGTCAACGACTCCGCAGCGGCAGCTACGACCTTCAAGCAACCAAGTCACCTCAACGCAAGCGAATCCAACGAATCAGATCCAAGCTTCAACGACCTCAACGGGACAACCTGCACAAGGAGCAAGAAACATCGTTAGCTGCATGGCAAGACTGAGTGACTCCTGCATCACGGAATCACCACCGCACTACTCACCAGAAGAACAACTCGACGAAACGACACCTCGCCGCGAGTCACTTCAGCCGAACCCGACATACGCCGCCATCGCCCAAAGCGAACCGTCCAGAAAGGGCACATGGTTCTTGGACAGTTGTTGCGGACAGCACATGTGTTCTTCAGGACGCTTCGTGCAACGAGAGTACCAGCTTCAACGAGAAGTAGTCATCACCGTCGCCAACAATCAGAACCTGCGCACACGACGACAAGGAATCGTTCAACTTCAGTCACGAGAGACAAACGTCATTCTACAGATGTCCAAGGTTTTAATTGCAGAAGGCCTCGGCTACAACTTACTCAGCGTCAGCCAGCTGATGGCGAAGGGCATCCACCTCGAAGCAGACAGCACCACCCAAGAATTCAAGTTGTACCACGGGAGAGGAGGTCTCTACATCGGCAAGGCGGTCCTCAACGTCTTCGTTCTTGACTTCGTTCCTGATCTTGGCACGGCCGACAGCGACGCCATCGTCAACTTCACCAAC